ATTATGAATATTAAAGCAAATAAAGAAAAAAAAACAATAGGATATTATGTCTTTTCATTTTGCAGATTTGCACCCTTTTTAATTATTAAATTTCTTTATTTATCATAAATGATAAATACTTTATGTGATAAGGCATCATTCCACATTGGACACAATAAACATCAACAAAGTATTGCCATTTACATGGCAAAGATAATTCATGTTGTTGAGTAGCTTCACATTGAACCTGCATACACACGACATATACATATAAAATGTATCTACATATATATATACTCAATTTTTTAAATTGCATCAACTCTTGAGACTTACACACTGTTAAAGACTCATGTTCTACCATTTTGCACTAGCAAAAGGAACCAGACAAAAACTGTTACCAAAACAAGTTGTTTTGTGCTTAATCACATTTTACAAATAGTTGTTGAAATTAAGCAAGTGAATGACAAGTTCACAACAACAACAAATCTCACAAGTAAATTATAAATCTGCCAAAATTGTGCACAGACCTTGCACTACCTCGTGGAGGTAGAGAGGTTGTTTTCAAATACTATACTAATTGAAAACGTAGTAAAGTAAAATTCATTAAAGTAAAATACAAGATTAGCCTAAATGCAAAGTTTTCAAAGATCTACAAGAAAAAATCATGGTTAATGGTAAACACCATTTCCATTGTATAAACACCATATAGAAATGAAATTGATAAAAGATGTGCCAGAAATTGATATTCACGTGCAATGCACGTGCGTCTAATATATATATATATTTAATTGAATAATAATACTCAATTTTCCAATTTGCATAAACTCTTGAGACTTGCACATTGTTAAAGACTCATGTTCTACCATTTTGCACTTGCAAAAGGAAACAAACAAAAATAGTTACCAATCTGCCAAAATTGTACACAGACCTTGCACTACCTCGTGGAGAAGGTAAAGATCGAGGTTGTTTTCAGATACTTTACTAATTGAAAACGTAGTAAAGTAAAATTCATTAAAATAATTCAAGATTATCCTAAATGCAGAGTTTTCAAAGACCTACATGAAAAATTTATGGTTAACGGTAAACATCATAAACACATTCCCATTGTATAAACACCATAGAGAAATGAAATTGATAAAAGATGTGCAAGAAAAACTCAGAACATTCAAAAATGAAAGAGAAAACAGATACAATTCGTCGATGATCATTTGTGTAAGTAATCACCTCCATTGTATCAACTTTGTCAAGCAAGAACCTGTTACAGAACAAAGAACAAAATGGAGAAGAAAGATCAAAGATTATTCACTACTGAAAATAAATGGAAAAAAAACTAGCTGATAAACAATGTACCTTATACAAGACAGTGAAAAAGGAGAGTAACGTAGAACAAAGAGGATTGGGAAGATTCAATTCTTGAATCTTGAAAAGTTATTATTTGACTCTTGTAAAGATTTTACTAATATTTTTTAATTAAAATACTAGTTTTAGTGTACGTGCGCCTCGCACGTGTATCTACAATTATGATCAAACTTATATTTAAATGTAACAATTGCTCGATGTTAATAATAAACGTAAGTGTAGTAATTACGTAATTATGATAATTTGTAAAATTATAGGAAGTGTAGTTCACTAGTAAAACAAAAATTATAAAAATACTAATTTTAGTGTACGTGTGTCTCACACATGTAGTCTACGCTTATGATCAAACTTATATTTAAATGATCAAAATAATTATAAACAAGGTACGTTACGCAAGAAAATTAAAAAAAGAGAGTAGAGTAGAACAAAAAAGATTGAGAAGAGGTTCTTTTATATTGAAAAATAAGTTCTTGAATCTTGAAAAGTGATATCCTTACCGTTAAAATAAATTGGAGGACATAAACATAGTTAATGTTTCTTTTCTTCTATTATTTACTTCACTTATGATAGGTAGAGTTGTAATTTAATTATGTGACTCTTGTGAAGATTTCACTAATAATTGTTTTTTACAAAAATACTAGTTTTAGCATATGTGTGCCTCGCATGTGTAGTCTACGCGTTATGGTCAAAGTTTTATTTAAACATAATTGATCTATGTAAATAATAAACAATGTACCTTATATAAGCAAGTGAAAAAGGAGAGTAGAGTAGAACAAAGAGGATTGAGATGAAGTTCTTTTATACTGAAAAATCCGTTCTTGAATTTTGAAAAGTTAACAAATTGGAGGGACATAAATATAGTTAATGTTTATTTTCTTATTTTATTCACTTTACTTATGAGAGATGAAGTTGCAATTTAATTATGTAACTCTTGCGAAGATTGCACTAATAATTTTTATTTATTAAAATACTAGTTTTAGCATACGTGTGTCTCACATGTGTAGTCTACGGTTATGGTCAAACTTATATTTAAACGTAATAGTTGCTCGATGTAAATAATAAACGTAAGTGTAGTAATTACGTAATTATGATAATTTTTAATATTATAGGAATTGTTGTTCACTAGTAAAACAAAGATTATAAAAAATACTAGTATTTGCTACGTGCGCCTCACTAGTGTAGTCTACGGTTATGGTCAAACTTATATTTAAACGTAATAGTTGCTCGATGTAAATAATAAACGTAAGTGTAGTAATTACGTAATTATGATAATTTTTAATATTATAGGAATTGTTGTTCACTAGTAAAACAAAGATTATAAAAAATACTAGTATTTGCTACGTGCGCCTCACTAGTGTAGTCTACGGTTATAGTCAAACTTATATTTAAATGCTCAATGTAAATAATAGATAATGTACTTTATACAAGAGAGTGAAAAAGAGAATAGAATAGAACAATGACGACTGAGAAGAGGTTCTTTAACACTGAAAAATCAGTTCTTGAATCTTGAAAACTAATATCCTTACCGTTAAAACAGATTGGAGGGATATAAATATAATTAATGTTTCTTTTTCTCTTTTTATTCACTTCACTTATGAGAGATTAAGTTGCAAATTAATTAGGTGACTCTTGTGAAGATTTCACTAATATTTAAAATAAAAATTAAAATAACAGTTTTAGCATACGTGCATCTCGCACATGTAGTCCACGGTTATGGTCAAATTTATATTTAAGTGTAATAGTTACTCGATGTAAATAATAAATAATTTACCTTATACAAGGAGTGAAAAAAGAGAGTAGAGTAGAACAAAGAGGACAGAAAATAGATTCTTGCATGCTGAAAAAATAGTACTTGAATCTTGAATAGTTAAAACAGATTGTTGGGACATAAATATAGTTAATGTTTCTTTTCTTATTTTATTCACTTCACTCTTCACTTATGACAGATAAAGTTGCAATTTAAATATGTGACTTTTGTGAAAATTTCACTAACAATTTTTTTATTAAAATACTAGTTTTAGCGTATGTGCGTTTCATGCGTATAGTCTACGATAATGGTCAAACTTATATTTAAACGTAATGATTATTCGATGTAAATAATAAACGTAAGTATAGTAATTACGTAATTATTATAATTTGTAATATTATAGAAATTGTAGGTCACTAGTAATTTTTTATTTATAAAAATACTAACTTTAGCATACGTGTGCCTCGCATATGTAGTCTACGGTAAGGATCAAACTTATATTTAAATAGTGGTTGTAAATAATAAACAATGTAGAGAGTAAAAAAAGAGAGTACAAGAAAGTGAATTACTATAACAGTTTCCTAAAATCCCCATTCTTATAACACTCCTGTGTGGCTTTGAAAAATTCATCCACAAACTGAAGTTGAGTGCCATTTACTGTCAAGCAAAATCTAAGGAAATATTAGTAATCCAGTAGTTGATTAAACTCAAATGCTTGACAGATGACTTGCATCAAGAAATTAAAAAACTAAGAAGCATATACAGAATGGTAGATCAAACATGTAAAAAGTGCAGTCTCAACAGAATATCACAAAACAGAAATGGAAAACAGAATATCACACAACTATGAATTATAGTATTTTGTATAAGCAGAATATCAATGTCTTCATTTTCATCATTAGTTGGTCTACATCTTCATTCAGTTCATTGTAGCGTCTCCATCTTGATCAGTTGTCTCTCCATCTTGATCAGTTGTGCCTTCATCTTGATCAGTAGCGTCTCCATCTTGATCATTTCTATTCATCCTGATCAGTAGCAAGTCGAGCAGTGGCCCTTCCATCTTGAGCAGTTGTCTCTCCATCTTGATCAGTTGTAGCTTCATCTTCATCAGTTGTGCCTTCATCGTGATCAGTTCTATCTCCATCTTGAACAGTAGCTTTTCTAAATCTCGTTTATTACCATCTCCATCTTGATTAGCATTAGCGCCTAAATCTTGTTCATTACCATCTCCATCTTGATAAGCATTTTGCTCATTAGCGCCTAAATCTTGTTCATTAGCATCTCCATCTTGATCAACATTTTGCTCATTAGCACCTAAATCTTGTTCATTAGCATCTCCATCTTGATCATTAGGAGGCTGTTCATTATGGCCTCGACAGAGAAGATGAAGCAATGTTACATCATTCCAGCAAATAAGCTCGTCCCTGCTACAAAATACTCATTTGAATTAACACTTTACAAGTCATGTCACATATCTGTAGTACAGTCCAAAATTAGAAACTTACAATCTCATATTATTAGCGCCTAAATCTTGTTCATTAGCATCTCCATCTTGATCATCATTTTGCCCATTAGCGCCTAAATCTTTTTGCTCATTAATTAGTGCCTTCATTCGATAAACTATCCTTTTCCCTGCCACAAAAAATACTCATTTGTATTAACCCTTACAAGTCATATATACCGCATATGTTTACAGTCTTAATTTGTAATTAGAAACTTACAATCTTCCTTCTTTAATAAACCTGGATGGTCGAGTGAGTGCCATCTGAAGAAATCATTAATTCAGTATTTAATAACAAAATCGTCATGTTCATGAAAACAAAAAGCCAAGAATTAATCACAATTCATGATACAAATATGTGTAGAAGAATCTAAAATATTGAAATCAGTAGCATTAGCATATATGGAAAAGTAGATGCAGAGTGAGAATCCATACAAGAAGAGCGGTTTCGTCGACGAATGCAACTCCAGTTCTGCACTCACGGCAATGGATGCATTCAGTAGGAGTCTTTCTTCCACAACAAAATTGAGTTGAAGACAAATATTGATACAGAATGGGAATGACAAGAGAATGTTGATATTATATATAGAAAGGCCACATCTTGATTCTTGAATTTACCGTTAATTCAAAAAAGGAGGGAAATTTGAAATTGCTTCACATTGAATAAATTTTCCACCTTTATTAGGAAGAAAAATAGAATTTTCTTTTTTATTTTTTGTTTTGCCCCTTAAGAAGATTTTATAGTTTTACCCTCCAAGACTTTTTTGTATTCGTATAAATAAAATAAAATTCCAAGGAACTATAGTTACCCTACGTGATTAAGTAACTGTAGTTAAGGAGACTCGTTATGTTTTAACTTTAGTTATTTATGAAATTTTCTCTAAATATAATGTATAGGTTTTCCTAGTTAAGTAATTATCTTTTAAATGAAAAGAAATCATAAATAGTGATTATATACTAAAATATTTATTAGGAAACGATAAATAGAAAATTTAAAATTAATTTGTTTTTTTGACAAATTAAATAAATAAAATGCCACTGAGGGAGTGGGACATTTCTCTTTTCTAAAGCTATTTATTTTATTTCTTTTTTTAGTGCTATTTATTTTTACTATTTTCATTTTATCTCTAATAACATTATTTGTTGAGGTAAAAAATATTCTTTTATAAGGAAAGAAAAAATGAAAAGTTAAGGTAGAATTTTCATCGGTATACATCTAAAAGATAATTATTCAAGTTGGTGTGTTCTTTTAATTTCTCATTTTGATAGGTATTAGTTAAGTAATTTTCTAAAAGAATTTGAATTTAAGTTCTGACGTGAAATTGTCTTTGGTAGGAGATTTTACTCCAAAGGGGAACTTTCTGATGCTGGATTAATCAGCCCCAAAATAAATACCGAACCTTAAGTGAAAAAAAGAGACTTTTTTTCGTCTTCAAACCATTTTCCAATTAGGCTTGTGCACAATTGGATTTCTTTTCCTGGCCTTCATGTTATATGTCAATATAATAGCCTGCCATTACGCTGAGATAGGATTAGTGGGATACACATTGCTTCAGGTAGTATTATTCTTCGTTATTACGGATCGTTTGGTAAAGTATATAAGAATAGTATTTAATATGATATATTAATAATACAAATATTAATTATGATTATATTAATTATATTGAAATTATTTCTTATATAGTGTTTGATTAGGTGTATTAAAAATAACATTAATTGCATATATATTTTAAAAAAAAGTGGTTTATATAAATATTATCCACAATATATGGTGACAAGGATGTTTAATCATGATGCATGTATTAAAATCCGCTTCATTGCTAATATCATAATTTAGTTATACATAAATAGAGTTTACATAAGTAATATTTGTATTCATTGTACATAAATTTCAAAAAGTGTGCCAAACAAATTAAAGTATCATAGTATAAAGCTAATACATATACTATTGTTTTTTCTAATGCATCCTATATATCAAACAAATTTTATTCATCGGGGAATCTTAGTAGTTTAGTTGGTTGTTTACATGAACTCTCACCTTGTTGGTGAGGGGTTTGATTCCTCACATTGTAATCCCCTCCCACATTTCCCCTTAAAAAAAGAAGCACTTTAATTCATCGTCCTTGCTTAATAACCCAGTGTGATAATTTTGAAACAATATGAAAAGGTTTCAACTAAGGTTGCGTATCGATCGGTTCTATTTAAAGTTTATCAGTTCTACTTATCGGTTATTGATTTGTACACATGCTAAGAACCATTAAGATATTGACTTATCGGTTATTGATTGTAATCGGTTCGATTATCGGTTTAACCGTTAAGAATTGACACAAAAAATAAATGATTGTGAATCACTTAGAAACATGCATGGCGACAAACCAAATAAATCATAATTGTTGAATAACCGAAAGTTTGAGACTACAAGAAATAAAAATATGAAACTATATCCTAAGTCAAAGACTTTATATACCAAATGGAGTAAAATATAATTTATTAATTTACTATCAGGTTATGGTTAACCCGTTAAGAAAAACCTCAGATCATTAAGAACCGATAACCTAATAATAATAAAATCAAAACTGTTATTAAAACCGTTAAATCAAACTCATTAATATAAACTAATAACTTTTTTTCGATTCAATTATAAATTTCGATTCGGTTTTGGACCGTCCTAGTTTAAACCCAGCTTTTATTCTCTTTATATAACTAGAAATAAATGTTAATTCGCAGAAAGAAGTTCTGTTTCCTCATTAAACTTTAACATATTAGAATCAGTATCTGCTTCAAATTCCAGTATTCGCGTGCTTCCCGCCAAAAAAACAGCCATGAATGGCCGCCGGCGACGATTC